TTACATTTGTTTCTCATAAAGGTCGTCGGTAGAGGCAATGTTTTTCTCGGCCAACTTGATCGGCACATCACGAATGTTGACGTACTCTACGTTATCGCGATGAACTTGGTTGAACGAGGCCGGCACTTTCTTGGGTCCTAGGTGAATTAATTAACATAATTATTACAACAAAATAATATGTTATAATTTAAATAAATGATAATTAATTAATTAACTTAAAAAGTTTAAAGTGTATTAACTCGGTCCTACCTAAAGTTAATTAAATAATTATCTAGTTACACTAATAATAAAATTATAACTAAATCTAATTTTTATATTGTTAATGTTTGTTGCAAAATTACCAAGGAACTCAGACACATGCTGGTGGGCGATACTCAAATCACCATAATGCTGCGAGTGCTGTGTGTGTGTCTCACTATCCATGGTGAAATTATTGTGCTCAACGATGTAGGCGTACTGTTTGTCCAAGATCTCGATCTGGGGGTCATTGGCCTCGCTATCATTCAACCATGTAACGCCGAAAAAGCCACCCAGATAGGTTTTGCGGACAGTGTCGTGTGTGCACATCCAACTCAACTCGTTGTACTTGGACGAGGTAATGGCGTACACATTGATGTCGGTGGGCAAGTGTTTCTCAAACATTGAGCCTGGTAAGTTATTTAATTAATCGCTTTGTTTTACACTTGATAGTTTTATTTATTTATTTTTTAATTGTTAAAATTTTTATTTACCTGAATCGCAGGCTTCCAAATAGAAAACGAGCTGGGCAAACTTTTTGTCCGTGTTCATTTTCTTTAGCTGTGTGTTTAGCTCGTCTGCGTAGAGATAGCCCTTCGGGAACAGTACGGAACCTAATAAGTAAAAACAACAACACCACCATCATGGTATAATTAAATAAAAATTTTAATAAAGTTAATCATTTATTGAATTAATTATGTATTGTAGTAACAGCACTTACCAACTGAACCATGGTCCATAAAGTAAACAAACACTTTATCATTTGGCCCGCTCTCGATCACTTTTTTACCCTGAGCTTTCAGTGTGGGATCTCCTCGCAGAATAGCCAAGAAGTTCTGTACATTAAATATAATTAAACATGTTAATTTTTAAAACAATTGTTTTTGTAATTAGGTAATATAATTTACCTTGGGTGTCACATCGGCGCCCACGTAATCCTTAGGCACACCGGCGTACACATCCTCACCATCTAGGGCGTTGACAATTTTACCCTGGGTGGGGTTGGCCTTGTTCAACGCTAGATCGTCGTAGTGCATCACTACGATGTTCTTCTCGGGTACACCCTGTTTCTTAACTGTTTGGTAGGCGTGGTATACGTTGGCCTATTAGGGTAGTAAATATTTAATTATTTAAAAAATTAATTTAAATTATATTTTAACATGATTTTAAATAAACTATTTTACCGAGATGGCATAGTTAGACCAGCCAATACCACCGGAGCATAATAGCACCCAGGTCTGACCCTGAGCCTCTTGCTCAAAAACGGGCGATGCGTTCACCGCCAACACCACAGACAACGCTAAACACAGCACTAATTTCATTATGGTATTTGTTATAATAAAACCACAAACTAACCAAGTACAACTAATACATACCTGTTTATATACTGTGCGTATTAAATGTATGGGAATTTATGCACCACTTACTGACTGTGTAGGGGGTAAAGTATTTTTCTAGATTACATTGTGTAGGCATATTAAACCCCATGATCATTTTTAATAAATTATCATTTTATAATTAACAAAGTTTGATTAAATAACCATGAAACTCATAATTTTTAATTAATGTGATTTTATGTAACTAATGCATGTAAATTAAAATACAGAAATTTTTATGCTATTCACAGTTTACATAACAGCATTATATGCAGAGTGTTTTAAGTAGCTTATTTCTTATTATTTTGAAATATCACTTTAGTATTATTTTAATAATGCAATTATTATCTATAAGCAAGTTATTAAATTAGAATAATAATAAATTTTAATAAATTATTTTAATTTTAAAATAGATATTAATATTTTATTATTAAATTAATATAACAAATAATACAATTTAATTAATTAAAAATTAAATAGGCCATAAAAACATAATGAAAGTATAGATATAGCTTTAAGTGTTTAAACGTGATAAAACACGATTCCAAGTAAAACTTGAAAAATATCTAAACAAATATATTCTGGATCAAATTTCATTGTCAATGTCTTTGTATTGTAATCAATATACAGTATCAAAATAACAACATGTGTTTAGAAATACACAAGATTATATATACTACTTTTTATAGTACATGTACCGTATTGATTTTGACCTTACAACGTGTTAATAATAAATTTAAATATTGATAGTGATCATGAAACTATTTATTAAATAAAATATTAATTACAGTTTATATTATTTTTGTCTTATTTATATTTATTAAATTATTAATAATTTATACATACAGTATACTTTATATTGTCAATTATATTATTTGTTCTGTGCGCATAATTACTTATTTATTTCATAATGCTGCAGATTGATTATTTAATTTTTAATAATAGACCAATAGATTTACACAATTAATAAATAAAATACAAGTTTTGTTATTTATATTCATTTTTCTACTTAAATTAATTAAAGTAATTTTAATTAATAGAAAATATACATATAATAGTTTTATGATAATAATTTAATATGTTTGCTACAAGCCAATTGATTTCATTTAATTAAAGTATAATTAATTAAAACTTACATTTTATTATACTTATACAAACATTATACATTATACTTGTATAAACACACTATTATATCATGTACATTACACGTTGATATTATAATAAATAAAGTATTTAAGAGATATTGTCAAACTATCCAAAACTACTGAATTGTATTCTGTATTGATTTTTATATAAATTATTATAATTTACTACTAATACATACGTCTATTGTACTGTACAACAATATTAAGGTAGGTAATATTTAATGACAATAATTAAATTATAAATAATCACATAAAACATAAAATGTTTAATAATTATTACATTAAAAAATTAACACCCGAGAAAGTTTTGTTTATCATACAGTGAGCGACCATTCGTACAGTAAATACCGTTTACTTGTCTAACAAACTCCGGTTTCTGAAGCCATTGATTACGGCACTCATCGCAGTCCACGTGCGCTATCAACTCGTTGGCTGCATTTTCCCGAAAAAGCACCATAAACACTTTTTCATTTAGATACATAAACTGTGTGATACCACGTATGAAAAATGTGACAGCTCGTTTACAGCCCACAAAGGTTTTTTCGCTGAATGTACTTTCATTAAATTTATTACCCTGAAAAACTATCCGCAAATTCCCGTAACTAGCTCTACCATGGGCAGTAAGTTTATCAAATGCAAATGCACTATCCGCAATCACGTCTATGTTATTATTAGTAATTTCTAACAACTCCAAATGTTCTAGGTCAGTAAATGCCAATGAATTAATCTTGGTGAGCTTTTCAGCCGTAATAGTGACCTCGGTCAAATGTGGCGACGAACCCTTAAACGCGTGCGACGGTATGTTGTTCAAACCGGTATTTTCTATTGTAAATGAATTTAATGCGCCAAGGTGGCTTACAATGCTAAACACGTTGACCTTGTTATTATCTAACGGTATATCGTACAGGCTAATTTGTTCCAACGTGCCCCACGTGCCATTAAATGCCTGCTCGTTAATTGTGGTCAATTTTGAACATCTTTCTAAATTGATCCACTTAAAGTTGATCTGGCCAAATAAATTTCTTGGTAGCTCAGTAATGAGTTCGTTGTGCATGGCAAACATGTCATACTGCCGATCATTGGGCTCGGTAAGTTCAGTGCTTATATTAGCAAACATGCTTTTTAATGACAATGCTGATATTTCTCCAGTGCATACTAGGGTGGCAAGTGTTTCGTCCTGATAACATTTGCATTCTTCGAGCAATGTGCTTTCTTTTGGGCATTTTCCATCCACCTTGCTGATGGTTATAATGCTAACTATTACGATTGTAGCTAGATAGGTTAAAATTATAGTAAATAATATAAATTATTAATTATATCAAGCTATTTATATTATTTAATGTTATTTTAAACTAGTTTACTAATAAAGTAAAGTGACTTACCGTATAATTGCATTATTAGTATTAATTTTGTAATTAAATAACAAGATTAATCCTAATATTTATACTATTGCAAAAATAGATTAGCATAGATTAATATATGGCTCATTTTTAATGAAATGTCAAACTATTGATGTTTAAATGTCAATAGTTTAATAAGTTAGACTGGTACATTTTTAGGGACAAAACTAGATTAATGTAATTGATTAAATAAACTGATAAATTAATAAAATAATATGTATTGAAAAATTAGTAATTAAAAAATATATTGTGCATGTGCATATATTGTGCACTTTACATTTTAATTAAAATAATTAATTCAATTTCTGATAAATTTAGTTTAAATTAAAAATTTAAAAAAAGTTACACTAACGTAAACGTAAATTAATTATTAAACAATGTTATCTATATGATTCACTTATTTATTACGTAAATTGAGCTTGCCCTTGAATTAATAATAATCAGTATTATCAGATATTATTACCTACCTGTTTGGAAATATAAATACTATTCATAAATACTACAAACTTATAAAGTTGTGTGTTAATTAATATGTTAGAAATTACTTTATTTTAATACAATTTAATTTATTATATTGTTATAAACTTAATCTATTTTTAAGTCAATTATAATTTATATTTATTTTATTTGAAAAAATTATTACGCCAATTTTAAAAATTGATTAATGCTTTCTTATTTAATGATAAGTTATATTGTTATTCCGAGAATTGTGCATTTGTTTATAATTATAAAAATTGCATTATGCAAATGAATTAATTATTATTTATTATTTATAGTGAAATAAGGATATTTTATAAAATATTAATTTCACTATAAATGCTAAAATTCCAAAAAAGTTAAAAATGCGTATTGCATAAATAGTCTACAAATAGTCTAGTTCATTATTCTAATAAACAACATTTTATAAGACTATTGGGAGGGTTGTATTATTGTACCTATACCTAACATCCCCTACCAAGTTTGATTGAGACACAACAATCAAGGTTCACTAATTGATATTAATTCTCAGTAATCACTATTAGAATACGTGCTTGTTTATCAGACCATAAATGTCAAAGTAATAAATTTTTATATAAAAACAATCTTAATCAATAAATATTTTATTTTGTATGAATTGATCATAATGAAAATAGTAATTGTTTTAGCATTAGTTTGCGTTGCGGTAAATGCGGTGCCCTTTGCCAATGATAGTCAGGGCTCGGAGTTTACCGGCAAGACATGGGTAGTGCTGTGCGCCGGTTGGAAAGGCTACTACGGGTCTGGTTATAGTATCCAGGTAATATATTTATTAAAAATTTTAATTTAATAACAACATAACATAAAAAACAGTAACAACATTAAGTAAAAATAACTTATCTCACTAATAGGCAAACGTATACAAAGCTTACCAAGTATTTCACGCTCAGGGTATACCCGATGAGAATATAATCGTGATGCATTACGACGATTTGGCCAACAATAAAGCTAACCCCACACCGGGTAAAGTGGTATTTACTCCTAATGGCTCCGACGTATACCATGGTGTGCCCAAAGACTATATTGGCAAAGATGTTACACCCAAGGTAATAAACAAATTACTTGCAACAAATTCAATTTAATAGTCATGGTACAATTATTTTTTAAAATAATAATTGCTATATTTGTAGAACTTTTTGAGTGTATTAAAAGGCGATCCAGAATTAGTTAAGCAAGGTAAAAAGGTAGTCAACAGTGGACCAAATGATCACGTGTTTGTCTATTTCATTGATCATGGTGCTGATGGTGAGTGCAAACATACTACACAATATCATTAAAATGCAATTTATAATTCATTTTGACCATGTTTAGATATGGTATCATTTCCCCATGGTATACTATATGGCGAAGAGCTGGTGGCCGCACTCAAATCAATGCATCAAAACAAGCGATTTGCCAAGCTCGTATTTTACCTTGAAGCTTGCGAATCGGGTAAAATTATTAAAACTAATTTATTTAAAACTAAATTATTAATTGATTTGTTATTTAATTAGGCTCGATGTTTAAACTATTACCCAAGGATATTAACATTTATGCCATCACATCATCGAATGCCACTGAATTGAGCAATGAATGCAATTGGGATGAGAGTAGAAAAGTGTACCTAGGTAAATAAATGTTTTCTTATTATTTAATTAACATGCTAACTGTTAGCAATTTATTCAATACTAAGAATGCGTTAATTCAATTCTAAATATGTGTTATTAAATGACCTAGGCGGATATTTTGCCTACAGATGGTTAGATGATTGCGAACACTTTGATATGAGGCAGGAAAGTTTGAACACACAATTTGAGCATATGCAAAAATTGTTGCTTATTGACAGTGGTATACCTAACCGGGAGCCTCACCCGCAACACCCTGTTCAATTTGGCGACATGTCCATCACCAAGTTGTCCGCATCAGAGTTTATGGGTGAGTAGTAGTGGTAGATTGTTTAAATTAATTATTAGCATTGTCATTAATTATAATAAATAAATGTAGGTTATAAAAAGATCAATCATAAATCAGCTGAAAACTATGATGAATTACCTACTGTATATTCTTAAAGCGCAAATGAAGTGGACGCCCTGTATTTATAAAAATTATAATTTTATTTTGTTTATAATTTATATATTTCTTATTTTATTATAGATATAACGAAGAAATGCTGAGACAATCCGTGGAGAAACAATACGTTGACAAACATATGACTGATTACGTGAATAGTATTCAACACTTACTGACAGTCGATAGCAATGCTATTCTAAACACTAAACAAGAGCTCAATAATAGACAGTGTTATCGACAACTTGT